AAACTGAATCAAGGACAGGAGCTCTAGGTTACAGAAGATCATAATATTCCCATTTGAATGTGGGAAAGAGATGGTGGGATGGAGAAAGGATATATACAAAAGCCTTTAAGACACATCTTTTAAAACATCACATAAGAATGAATTTTATCCCTGATCCTTCTGATGTACTAACCAACATCTGCCCCTAATCATTTGCCAGTCCTGGCTGCAGGGAAGGCACAGAGTAGCAGACATTTTCACACAGTAAGGCTGGAAGACATGCTACTAGAGTGTAAATTACTAATTAGCTCAATAGAAGACAAAGAGAGAAAATACCTGTCACAGAATGCTGTTTACAGCTTGACATATAATAAAAATCAACCCTGAAAATTTGAAGAGAGAGCCTTACTTCCAGACTTCTATTAACATGTGAATGGAAAAGGAACAGTTTTATAGTCTTTAAAAACTGCCCATGTCTCAGAAACAATAATAAACTGCTAGAAAGATGCTTCCCAAATAATTTATAATTTTCTCATCTTTATGAAAGGGAAGTGTTTTTAATTATTACAATCAGCTTTAATAAGGATCTGTATATCACAGCTTTGACGATGGCTTAAAAAGAGGCAGAAAAGGAAAATAAGCCCACAAGTGCTGTATTTTATATTTCTCAGAATACAACTAATATTCCTTTCACTTAAACTACAGGACTTTCTGCATGCCATGCCTTTTTCATATGGACAGACTATCATTTTATTTTGAGGGAAGGTAGATATTAGCATGTTATGTCATTCATCCTCTTACCATAAATAAGACATTAAACAACCCCTACTTGTATTAATCCTAACCAGTGTTCTTTTTTTTTTTTTTTTTTTTTTTTGGAGACAGGGTCTTGTTCTATCTCCTAGGTTAGAGTACAACAGTACAGTGGCATCATCATAGCTTACTCCTCAAACTCCAAAGTTTGAGGGGTCCTCCAGCCTCAGCATCCTAAGTAGCTGGGACTACAGGCATGCACCACTATCCCCACCCAATTTTTCTATTTTTGGTAGAGACAAAGGTCTCAGTCTTGCCCAGACTGGTCTCAAACTTCCTGGATTTGAGCAAACCACCCACCTCAGCCTCCCAAAGTGCTAGGATTACAGGCATGAGCCACCATGCCAGGCCTCAGCCAATGTTCCATCTTTTATTTTTATCTTTTCCAGCTCCTTGAAGCTATATAAGAATCTTCAAATCATATATTTCACCTAAATAATTATTGGTTAGGGTAATAAAAGGCCTCATGGCTCCCATTTCTCATATTAACAATCACCTATAAATCATCAATAGCTAGCATGTTTTGAGGGCACACCCACATGTAAGCAAATCATGCCAGGAGCTGGGGACGTTCCTAAGAGAGGGATACAGTTTTTGCATTCACAGGTGAGAATATACTGAAGACAGCAGAACATCAAACTACAAAAAAAAAAAAAAGTCCACTCTTAATCTAATCTTGAGATCCTTTGCTTTAAGTGCTGACTAAAATCAAGTGCACACCAAACTATGTGATATACTCAAAACCTTCTTCCCTTTTCTCTTTAAAATCAAAGCATTTATATGCACTTTCTTCAATTTAACTTATTTAAAAATACACAAAAGTGAGAGAAAATGATAATGCAAACAAGGCAAAATGAAACAATAAATGGTTTTGAGTAAGCCTATATAGAAGTGCCTTGTATTATTTTTACAGTTTTTGTATAAATTTGAAAAATTGTAACAAAATAAAAAAATATACAATATTAACAACAGAAGGTCTCTCCTGGGTTGTTTTGAGTTTGAAACAATTCATACACTTAGCTAATGCCAAATACTTAGTAAATAGTAATTGTTAGGCTAGGCACCGTGGCTCACACCTGTAATCCCAGTACCCTGGTAGGCCCAGGCGGGTGGATTGCCTGAGCTCACAGGTTAGAGACCAGCCTGAGCCAGAGCGAGACGGCCCCTAAAAATAGCCCAGCATCGTGGTGGGGTCCTATAGTTCCAGCTACAGGGGAGGCTGAGGCAACAGAATCGCTTGAGCCCAAGAGTTACAGGTTGTTGTGAGCTATGACAACTCTACCAAGGGCAACAAAATGAGACTCTGTTTCAAAAAAAAAAAAATTAATTAATTAAATAGTAGTTGTTTTATTTTAACAAGTAGATCTATTTATTTAACCAATTAAAGCATACACAATGAGCTCAGCACCTATTGCTCAGCGACTAGGGCACCAGCCACATGCAGCAGAGCCAATGGGTTCGAATCCAGCCCAGGCCTGCCAAACAACAATGAGGACAACTACAACCAAAAAATAGCCAGGTGTTGTGGTGGGCACCTATAGTCCCAACTACTTGGGAGGCTGAGAGAAGAGAATTACTTAAGCCCAAGAGTTTGAGGTTGCTGTGAACTGTGAAACCACCAAGGGCAATATAATGAGATTCTGCCTCAAAAAGATAAAAATAAAAAAATAAAGCATACACAAATGGGCTCAGCACCTGTAGCTCAGCAGCCACATACACCAGAGCTGGCAGGTTTAAATCCAGACTGGGTCTGCCAAACAATAATGACAATTACAACCAAAAAGAAAAAAAAAAAAAGCCAGGGGT